ATTTACCAGCTCTGTACCAGTCAGTACATACACCCTACAGTCATTATTTACCCCAAATGATATTGAATAAGACATTTTAGAGGGGCTGAGTGGTCATGAGGCACAGCGTCTGCCTTGAGTGCTGGAGGTGCCGGGTTCAGGCCCCAGTGAAGGCTGAGATTTGTTCACATGAATTTCTAGTAATTTCCCCAGGTCTCTGAGTTGTAAGACCGGACACACGTGTGTATTGCTGTGAAAATTTTTTAAAAATCCCTTGGCTGTTGGAAATCAAAAAGAGGAGTCTTACCGCGCTGCCAGGGCAAAATTTTGAGTTAAAAATCTACTCAAAGTAGTTCAGGATCCTTGTCGGTGCTACAGAGTTGGTGCACTGAGCTGAGATTCTTCAAAATCAGGCTTGAGATAGAAGTAGAATGGAGCACTTAGGGGTTGCTACCGGGTGCCATGATGTTGATCCTTTGTTCAAGCCAAAACGAATAAGAAATCTGAAAGTGTTTGAAGTCATACCAGGAATAAGCGTGTATAGTGTTTGTTTGCTCAAGACCCCAGTGGGGTTTCCAGGACCCAATTTTGGGGAAACAAAGAGTAGATCCACTGCGCCTTTAACAAGCAAGTCACAAGAGACGACTAATTAGGAGTTGAAATTGGATGTGTTGGGCTGAAAATTGCTTCAATTGCAGCCTAGCTGTAAACCATAACAGAAGATACCAACTGCTTTTTTAAGGGTTAACACAGGAAAACAAAAAAAGAAAAAATTTGCTTAAAGAGTTAAGAAAGGAAAAGTAAACAGTAACTATTATTTTCTTTTGGATTTTTTTGGGATGCAGTCACACAAAACAAATAAGTCTTTTAATTAAAAAATCTTTTTAACATATTACCTGTTATGACTAAACTTTTCTTCTTTCTCTTTTTTTTTTTTTTGGTAGATGAACTCTCATAAAAAGCACATGTTTCACTTGTTAAGCATCCTTGATGATGTTCGCTTATTCCCCTTGATTTCCTTATGTGAGCTTGTTAGCTGTTGCAGTTTTAGCATATGTGGCTTCATTAGCAAGCAAGTACATTTAGATGTGCATATGTGAGACACTGTATGAATTCACACATGACAGAATGATGGTTGAAATGTTATGTTTTTTTACCCATAACATGATTAAAAGTTGAATTTTTTTAACAGCATGAAACTGTTATGCAGTTGCTGTATAAGTTTCCTTTTCCAGTGTTTCTATTATAACTGAAAGTGTATTATTTATTTTCTTGCCAGATTTCTGTAACATTTTGTAAAACAGTTTAAGCACTTGTTTGCATGCCATTACTAGGCCCATATCTTCTATGAACTTATGGAATTTAAGGGTAATACTAGTAGTTTTAGAATGATTTATGGCATAATAACAATCTTTTTCTTATAATCTATGTAGAGTGGAATTATTAGTTATGTCTATCTATAATCTTTTGTCTTGTATACTTTCAACCATTTCTGATACAGAAGATCTTCCATTCCATAAAGTCAAACTGTCGACCCTTTTCTTTCTCAGTCTCCCACTTGCCTCTCTTCCTTTTAAACTTTCCGGCTGTCATGATGTACTCCAGTTTTTTCCTTCTCATGACATGACATGTCCCTTTCTGATGTGGGCATTCAGTTCTCTTCATTAGTCAGTTGTTTTTCAAGTTATTTTCATTACTAGTCTTTCCAGGGTTTTCTCATCATTCATCATGTGAATCTAAGCTTTACTAGTTCTGAAAGAACAAACCACACACAAGCTGATTAATTTTTCAGCTGTACGAATCAGGTATAATACCCTTTTTTTTTTTTTAATTCAGTAATAATGTGTTGTAATATTATATTATCATTTTACCCAGAAATTAGAAAAAATATTTTACGCATCATTTCTATTATAAAACTCCTATCCCTCTAGCAGTTTATTCAAATGCTGACATACATTCCTAAATCAAGATTTATGTTTGCGTAAATATACAATTAAAATAATTAAAATTCCTATCTCTGTCGCTTGCAAATGATTGTTCACTAATCGTTCAGCTGTCCATGATACATTAATAACAATGTGGAAAGATGAAGAGCGGCAGCTTAAACTGAATTTTTTTTTCCTTTTAATTTTATATTTTTGCAAACATGAATCTTGAAATACGAATCTATGTCAGTATTTGAACAAGCTACTGGAGGGATAAGAGTTTTATAATAGAACTAATGGGTAAAATATTTTTTCAAATGTATGGTTAAAATAATAATATTGTTTTACATCACATTACCACTAAATTTAAAAAAAAAAAATTTGTTTATACCTGATTTGTACAAATAAAAATTAATCAACTTGTGTGTGGTTTGTTTTTTCAGTACTAGTAAAGCTTAGATTCACATTTACCCCTTGTACTGCACTTAGACTTAGATTTTTTCTCATCTCCTCTGCTCCACTGAAGCTGAGATTTACACTTACCTTTCCATCTGCCATAAAATATGTGGGAAATCAGGTCTTTTTCTCAACTGGAATTTTATATTCAAACTCAGCTTGTTTGCTGCAGTGAAACATATTCAAATACATCTCTCATTTATCAATCAAACTAAAATTTCTACTTATTTCTAATCTTCTTCCTCCTCACTTCCTGTTTTACTGCTTAGGGTGTCAATATAAGGCTCTAGTTCTGGCCTATCTGGCTGCCTCAACCATAAACACATTGTGCTTTTGATTTTGAATAGTTTCTTTGATGTTATCTTTCCATCTTGTTTTTTGGTCTACCTCAAGGTCTTCATCCATCTCCTATTTTGGTGTTTTGCCCTGGATTTTTACCATTTTTACTGCTGGCCCTGGATTTTTACCATTTTTACTGCTGGAGTGAAACTAAGGATTCTTATTTTTTTAATTCTGCTTTCAACTTTAAAAGGTACATGGCATGTTCTGTTGTAGTTTACAGCTGGGCAGTGATATATGTGCCTTTCGGCTAAATATATTCTATTTCAGTGAGCCTTTATTTCGTAAACTTTTTTTATATGCTTGATAAAGCCATTGGGTTTATTCCCCCCCCCCCCCCCCCCCACCACTTTCCCCTAACAATCCCCCAAATTCCTTGAAGGGGAAACTTTTAATTCAAATACAACTCCAAAACTGAAACCTATTCTAACTTGTCTCATATGCTGGTGCCTTGAGTTTTAGTATCTTGGAATAGACATAGATTTTTACCAAATCTGGCTACTCTTGGTCAGTAAAATAAACTAATTATAGACATGCTGTGCCATATTAATTCACCAAAACTTACTTATGCAGTTGTTTATTGTCTAACAAAACCCAACATTAAATGCTGGCTGCTCCAGAGAATTTAGTGGATTTTTGTGCCTGATATATATTTAGTTCAAGTAGATTAGTGATACTTTTTGGATAGAAAAAAAATGTCATCTAATAGAGTGAATGATATCTGACTGGTGTATTGGTGCATAGTTATCATTTCATTTTTAACTGATAACTGTTCATGTAGATCTCTTTTATTTCCAATAACTTCCCTGGGATTATCTTTCCCTTTCTAATATTGTGGTCAAATCTTTAAGTAGTTGCTGTTCAGTCACAGGTGCCTAGTTGTGCAGCATTTTGAAACCTTAATTATTTAGATATTACTGGTATATGTAATATTTTGTGTGTGATGGTGATTAGTTCAATCTGGCAATGTCCTAATATTTAGTTTTTTTTTTTTTTTTATGATCAAATAATACATTTTGCACGTTTTTTTTTTTTTTTCAGCAGTGAAATGTCACATTGAAAAAATAATTTATATTAAATTATGGTTAAAATTAATAAAATGACATATTTCTAGGATTTCAGATTGATTGTTTATCTTTGTGAATTTTAATAATGAAAAACAAAAAATATTTCCTGGCATATTTCACTGCATCTCTTCAAGAATATATCACAAAATTAAATAAATATACAGCGAAGCACAACAGTGAGTCCTTTCAGCTAAAATTTGTGTAACACATGGTTCATTGTTACAATATAAATGTCAACACAGTAGATGTAAACTGGCCAGCTAGGCTGTCAGTTTGCATAGTGTTATGATGGCTTTTTCGTAATCCAACGTACCGCGATCGAAATCCACTGCTGGCTGTGTGGATTTTTATCAAGGTATTTGGCGTCGCAGCTCGACCCAGCCTAAAATGGGTACCAGGATGGCTGTCCTGGGGAAGTAAAGACGGCCGGCATAATGTTGACCACATTACTTATCCAGTGTCGATTGGTCTGTAAAAATATGGGACGCTCTTCCCATATACCCGATGTGCCTAAGGCGTAATAAGGGATATTTACTTTTTTTTTTATGATGCTTTTGCAAATATGAATTGGTATTAAACAAAATATTTGTAGGTTCGGGCCCCGACAGAGCTGTACTTTTTTCAAAAATGACCTTGACTCGCGAGTCGACCTAGCCTTGAGTGGGTACCAGGTACAAGCCCTGGGAAGTAAAGGTGGCCGGTGTGATGCTGACCACATCACCAACAATGTGCTGATAGGTCTGTAAAATATAGATCTAGCCCTATTTGCCCAGCAGTCTAAGGGCGTGGAAAAGGGACCTTTGATTAAACAAAAGATGAATCAAAATTGAATAACAATCTAAGCAAACATAAAGACATGATGATCAGTGAAAAACTGCCATGATAAAACTAACATTTAAACAGTTGACTGTGTATATTATGTATTGCAGTTCAAAGGATTCATTACTGTTTTTAACCGAATGTTCATTTAGGTCTATAATATGCACTTTATAAGATACAGTGAAATATGTCCAGCAGTTTTTTTGTTCCATCTATTATTTGTGTCTTCATTATTCAAATTTTCAGAGCTATTAATCAGTCAACAAATTGAAAGAATGATTTCATTGTTTATTTAAATAAATACAAAATGAATGCAATCATTTTATTAGAACAACTGTCACACTTTTGTTGTTTTTCTCTCCACCCTCCATATTCTTTAGTAGGCCTGGGTCCGTCCATGATATCGAGCATCACTATGAACTCCGCCCCTGGTGTCTCTCCATCGGCATTAACTCAAGTCTCAGCTCCAGCGGAGCTCGGGCTGACGCAGGCTTCCCCCATCTTTGCTTGTGGCACAACTGTGGGTTTGCAAATTCCTCGCTCTTCACAAATTGCCACAGCTGCACCTGTACTAGGCATCCCTAGATCTACCATTCCTTGTAATCCTTCAATCTTGACTTTGGCAAATCAAGTGCCTGGTAAGGGAGGGAATTAATGTTCAAATTTTTTTAGCATCAGAATAAACGTTGTGGTTAATTTTTAGAACCTGTTATGTACTCCCTCCCTTTGATTTCTGCATTTACAAACAGATTGTTTAGTTTAGTTTTCCTTTCCTTGCTATTTTCTTTTCTGTTAATGTTTCACAAGTATAGATATAGTGATGTAATGTAGATAACAGACATACAGTCACTTGTATATATGGACAAAGTACAAATATATTGAATGTAATTGGGTTATTTATGTTTCATTAGAACTGCAGCTCAGAACAAATTCAGCTGAATAGTTGCCTATACTAGGTTGTTAAGTCAACATGAAACAAAAATTAATGCACTTATTTTAGTATAAAATGCTTACATACTTTTTTTTTTTAATTTAAATTTTGTTTTCCTATCATAAACTGTAGGCATGCTCTTTCAAAAACAAAAACAAAATCCCTTACAATAAATTTGTTATTATATTTTATGTTGGAAATGGTTAACAATTTTAGAACATCTTTACTTAAACCTAACTATTCTGTTAGCTATAGTAAAGTTTATTTCTGCATTTTTATGTATTTGGAATGTATTTTCTTCAGTTTTTCAAATTATTTTGTCTGAGAAAGTGACAAACAAGGGTTTCAAATGTTTGTTAATTAGCTGAATTTGTTCAAAGACAATATTATATTCATATGTTTCTTTAATTGTCATAGTTTGTATTTATCATTTTAGCATAGTCATGGTTAGCATAACTTAATTTATGTCACAAACTGGCTAGTACATAAATTAAAATATATGTGGATTACATAACATAATAGAAGTTAATGGTAAAGTGTAATGCATATTTGTCCATGATATATCTGCAATAATAATTTTTAGTTAACATTTTTTGTTGTAAACTTAGCTTTAGAGACCTGTCAGAGTTTCTTCTCTCTTTCTCTGTGTTTTATTTTTACTTTCTGTCTCTCCTAGGTTACTCTTGCATTGATTTTGTAAACATAGTAAGGTTTTTTTTTTTTAACATGCAAGTATTATTGGGCAAACTGAAAATTGTAGCAATGAAACAAAATATCCCCCTACTTGAAATTACAGAATTATATTCCACATGATTAAATACTTTTGAGAATGTATCTCTTTCACTGTGGTGTCTGTTAAGGCTGACTTGATTTTAGGCAGATTATTTCCAAATGAAGAGTTCAGTTTGCCTTATTATTCTTTTTAAATTATGCTAAAGGAACACACAGAATGCAATGACCTTAAATGTTTAATGGCAAGAAGGCTAAATTTATAAATTGGTAGTTGATTTGTATTTCTTTATAACCATTGCAAATTTCCTGTCATGCCATTTCAGAGGTTGTAACATTCTGCATGTTTAGTGCATATTTAATGCTAACTCATTTCAGGTCCAATCATTGGTTTCATTTGTTCCTCTAACCAAACCTCTCCCATCTGAGAGGTTTGGTTGAAGTGTACACATTAATTGTTCCATGTTCTGGTAAAATTTTGTAATGTTTAGATATAATTTTAAAATGTTTAGATATAATTTTGAAATGTAGGTTACTGTTAGCCTGCTCTCTGGCTTTTTGCATGGAATTGTGTACACACCTAATCACAAAGTGCTAAACAATTAGTATCACCTCTTTGGAAGCTGTAGTTGTTGCCAGATAGGACATGTACCTTGTAAATGTTATGTTATAGACTGCTTGTAGTTTATTTTTTTTTGTAGCATAAATAACTCCAGTCTTCTAGTGCATGTCATAAATACTACCTGTCTAGTCTGTTTTTTTTTTTTTTTTTTAATTGTATTATTATTTCTTATAATTTATGATTTATTTTATTTTCTGTATAAAAAATTTTGTTTATTTCTTAAATTTAAAAATAAAACTCAGAAACAATATTATTTTTAAGTTACTTCTACAAATGGTCTAAGGAATAGTTGCGGCTATTGTTTAGTCAGTCAGAAAGTCCCTTCTTTATAGTTTAGCTTTCCTACAGTCATTATACCCGATTCTCTTGCACAGTTCACTGCTTCTTGGCATTTTTCTAAATGATTTATTGAGTATGTCTTTTATTTCATATTTATTTGCTAAACAAAGCACACACACACACACACACACACACACACACAAACACACACAAAATTAAAACAATTTAGCAAATTATGCACTCTACAAGATTTGCATTTTTCTTAAAACAGAACACTTCAAATAAACTGCTTTGCAAGATTTAAAAAAAAAACAAGTCATGTTTATCGTTGGAACAAAATTATACAGTCAACTTTAGGAACAAAATTATACAGTCAACTTTAGGAACAAAATTATATAGTCAACTTCAGTTTGTCCAAAAATCCATGCAAAGAAGCCAGAGCCAGGGATTTGGTAGATATTTTATACATTTTATCGTACAAAGTTAGACTTAGCATTGATTAAAATGTATTTACAATGAAGAAAGAACAATAGCTTCAGTATAGAATATTTTTAATGCGCTTTTTTGACATTTTTTTTTATTTTTCAATTCTGACATATAGTCCCTGGCTATGGTTATCTTCCCCTGCCGCCTGCTGGCGCCACTGACAGGGCCATTCCTCCTGCGGCCTATGCAGATTTTGGTGCTAACTCGATAGTCTCAGCTGCTCCACTGGCCCTTCCTGCCCCTCATTCTGTCACCCCTCGTAATGATAATGGGACCAGCGCCCTTACGCTAGCAACAGCATCACATCACCTTCAGAGAGATACATTAGCAAGAGCAGCAGGTCAAACTCTTGGTGGGTGTCTCTGTTTATATCAATTTATTATGATTGTTTTTACATTGTCTTTTAATGTTTGTCCAGTTGCTTTCATTTTAAGAAATATTAACATACTTATGCAGGAGTTATGAACAGTCATTGAATCTCATTTGTGAATTGGAAATGTTTGAATAGACTGTATGATAGGATAAAGAAAATGTTTGAATAGATTGTAGGATAGGATAAGGGAAATATTTGAATAGACTGCAGGATAGGATAAGGAAAATATGTGAAAAGATTGTAAAATAGGATAAAGGAAACATTTGAATAGATTGTAGAATAGGATTTGGAAAATATTTGAGTAGATTGTAGGATAAGATATAGGAAATATTTCACTAGACTACAGGCTAGGATAAGGGAAATATTTGAGTAGATTGTAGGATAGGATGAGGGAAATATTTAAATAGACTGCAGGATAGGATAAGGAAAATATTTGAATAGATTGTAGAATAGGATAAAGGAAACATCTGAATAGATAGTAGAATAGAATATGGGAAATATTTGAGTAGATTGTAGGATAGGATGAGGGAAATATTTGAAAAGATTGTAGGATAGGGTATGAGAAATATCTGAATAGGTTGTAGAAAATAAGATAGGGAAATATCTTAATAGATTTTAAGATAGGATATGGGAAGTATTTGAATAGATGTGTAGCATAGAATATGGGATATATTTGAATAAATTATAGGATAAGATAAGGGAAATATTAGAATAGACCACATATAGGATAAAAGAAATATTTGAATAGATTGTAGGATGAGATTATAGACATATTTTGATAGATTCTAGGATGGGATATGGGGAATATTTGAATAGAATGTAGAATAGGGGGACATATCGGAATAGATTGTAGGCCAGTAAAAGAGAATTATTTGAAAAGGCTAATCTAATTAGTGAGTTCTATTATCACAGTACTAGAGACAGATCCAAAGGTGCTTCAATCTCCTCCATAGTATCTCCAAAAATACAAAAGCTATTGTTAATCAAACATCTTTGCTCTAAGTTAAATAAATGCTTAAGTCTGGCAGCTCCAGACCTGAATTCCATGTTTACCAGTTGATTGGAGAGGGGTAGGGGGAGGTAGTACTTTATCATTGCAGTAAGAGTTCAATGTGGCTGTTCTTGTAATTTTGAAATAGACTTATAATTGAACTTATTTTTATTTCTTTTCCTTTACATTCATTATTATTTTTAATTAGGGGTTATAATGTATTTTTCTTCAAAGCAGATTAGTTATTGAGACAGGCTAGTAATTTATATTTTGCAAATGACTAAGTTACTGTTGCATGTCTTAGTTATATCATTGATGAGTAGTATAGAAAGACTAAATTCTGCATGGCTGTTTTTAGAAACCTGGCTATGATTTAACTGTTTCTTTCTTCCTTCCTATTTTGTTTCTTTCTTCCTTCCTATTTTGTTTCTGATCTTACATTCACAATTTCTGTCCAGCGTAAACTTCACATTACACACTCTATCATTCACTGTATGTACATTTTAAATTATAGCCATCAGCATCTTAGATTTAAAAATGATTTTCAGAAATGCATCATTCTGTCTTTTCTGGAAAAAATACTTTTGACAAATTCTCATTGTTGTAATGTCCTGTGACGAAAGCGCAGATTATAATGGTGGTGAGCTGAAAAATTTTAAAACATGAGGATGATATTTATGAAATACAATTGCAGTCTTCCCCATCCCAGCTGGATGACTGGTGATATGAAGATCTAATATTTCTCTCACAAATATAAAATTTACTGTTGTGCTGTATTTGCACACACAGAAATCTACACTTCTTCTTCATGTTCACTCGCCAAAACTCTGAAAGTGGAATCAGTTCATCACCACAAAGATAATACCACTTGTTTTTGTCTTGCAAGAAAGACCGTACTACTCACAAAAAGTAATCCTACACCCGGCTATCTCTTGGCCCAGCAGTAATCAACAACATGACTGTTCAGTCCCTGTTGATAAGACAAAAGTCTTCTCTCAGCTATTTATTCCCTAACTTCTGAACCATGTGACAAGTCTTCAGTCAACTTTGTTAAAGTCTTCAGTTGGGGAGGAGGGGGGAAGGGATTCAATATCTGGTTCAACCTATTTCTTGGTAAACTGAGTTCTTCTTTTCCTTTGATCAACCTTATAATGTGTACAACTACTATTCTTAGTTGCCTTCTACTAAGTCTGTCCTGTAAATCGGATCTACATATAAAACTGGAGTCCTGAGACAAAAACCAGAGTCCAGAAAAGAATGTACAACTAAGCCTCTCTTCCGGAGTTTACATCTGGTAAATACAAACAAAAACAAACAAACATAATTTTCACAAGCTTGAACAAGACTTCACATTGTGCTGAAATTCACTATCATGTATTTGCACATCTGCAAATCATTTTAACTATTTCAGTGTGAGCAGTTGGTACTTACTTCTTTGTATTCTGTAATCCTGAGCTTATAGGTTAAAAAAAAAATACTTCAGTCAGAAGTTCAACAGAGACATTATGAAACATAAGTAGTTGAATAATTATTAGGTAGGTAAGTTGTACCCCACCAGGACATCTCACAAGCGATAAACAGCTGGTAACACAAAGTGCCACCATGCGGATGAGGATCACCTGTGGAGAGATCCCGAAAACCCCATTTAACCTTTAGGCTTTACTTAGGGGCTGACTATATGTAGGGCTACCAGCAAAAGCCAAGGTGGTGCTTCAAAATAACGAAACATTGCATCCCACATGAGGACATTTATATAATGTCTGTCTGTGTTACCAATATTGACAAAGACTCTTGGGAGAGAAAAGCTGCAGACTGACTTCTATGAAGGCAGACAGTGACAGACAGACTGTCACACTTTTGTAAGTGGCTAAATACAGCAAGCTTTAGAGAGGAGACGTCTGAGAGAAAACCAGCCTATCATCGTTTCTATTAGTTCCTACACAAAGACACAACGGGGGATTTCTCATAATGTTCCTCCGAACTAGGTACTCATTTCAAAAGGCTGTGTCCATCCCAGACTTGCAAGGTTTATAATAAAGAATCCCAACCTTGATGAGGGTTTGAAGCCAGAATCATCTGGCTTGGAGGCAAGTGGGCTCACTATTTCTCTTCTACCTGTCCACATTCCTCCAAGTATACTGTTTAAGGGGGAAATTTCTTCTTCTTCTTTTTCTTCTTCTTCTTCTTCTTCTTTTTCTTGTGTGCGACTGGTTTCGTGACACCTGTCTGAACAAGATAGGATGCAGACTTGGTCTTAGGAGAGTTCTTGTGAAAATCTCTTCTTCTTCTACTTGTTATTGTTTTCTTCTTCTTCTTCTTCTTTTCTTCTTCTTCTTTTTTCTGCTTCTTCTTCTTTTTTTCTTCTTCTTCTTCTTTTCTTCTTCTTCTTCTTCTTCTTCTTCTTCTTCTTCTTCTTCTTCTTCTTCTTCTTCTTCTTCGGTCTCCTCCTCCTCTTCCTAATCATCTAATGTAAGACTATCTGGCACATGGATCATTGCCAGTTGTATTGTATTTATGATCTGTCTATGCTGGGGCTTGAACCTGATGCCCATGACGATCGCCATTTTCAAAATGTCAGCCCCTGACATGTTAGCCTTCTCCATTTCTTCCCTTCCCCGATCCCACTAAACTGGAACAAAGACGTCACTTAGATTTTTCTCAGTGCCACAAGCTCTATAAGTCAGCTGACAGGAAGTGACTAGAGGTCACCTAGTTTCATTTGAATATGGCTCGGTCACTCTCCATGGAATGACTGATCACCCACTGAAAATGTTGCATAACTTCTATAGCCCCAGCGACAGCCCTCAAAGATCATTGCCACACTTGTGCTTACGATAAGGTCCCTCAATGTTTAGTTAAACCTACAACTTTCGGAGCATGAGGTAAATGTTCTAATCAGGCATTTATTTTTCTAGAAAAAAAAAAGAAAGACGCAGGTGCTCATCACAACGTGTCTAAAAAAAAAAAGGTGGCCAGTACTGAATACTGTTGCATACTGCCCCCACCCCCTCCACCCCACCCCCAAAAAAACTGGATCTAACCAATCCAGCAATGAGACATCCTAATAAACAGTAGGTGTTTCATAAACTGTTTCACATTTTAGTTTAAATTAAATATAATTATCACATTCGAAAAAATACTGACAGTGGGATTTTTCTGACCAATACAACATCTTTGGCATAGGTGTTGCAAACGCGCTCGATAATCCTAGGATACCGCTGCGGGCAGTTTGGCAGCAGACTGCCTGCTATTGGTGTTGACACTAGTGTCGAAAGCTGATTGTTCAGGATGCTGTGGCAACCTAAACAGTGTAGATTTGCCTAGCCAACCTGCAACAGCCTGGACATGCTGAAATTGGTTCTGCAACATCCTGTAAGGAAAACACAACTGATTAGCCCAGTTTTGGAGGCAACCCGGCCACGTAAACATAGGTACCCAACAATTTGAGAATGTTCAAGAAACTTTTCTGAGAATAAAAGGCAGTGTCACAGGGAACTGTCCATTCCCACCTATATGTCGTGGTCTGGAACAGTTGTTTTTAACATGGGCAAGGAATTTAAAACTGTATTTATAACTGAAATATAGGTCCCCCGTGTGGGTTCCGGGGCCCTATTGTGGGGAAAACAAGAATAGACCCACTGCCTCCCCAAAAGCATGTCGTAAGAGTCGACTAACTGGGGAGCTTCCTTTGAAGTCGGAGTGCATCTGCCTGAGAGGCAAGGAACCAGCAGTCTGCATTCAATTGAATCAGATCTGTAAAACTGATGCACACGCAACACTCAGGTTCTGGAACAGGACTGCAGTCCAGAAGTGGACGAACAACCAGAACTTTACACCAGAGTTTACAGCTGGTGAACGCGAAGAAGAAGAAGATAACTGAAATAATCTGTTATCTTACCTAACAGTTTTTTAAAGTAGAATTTTAAATTAAAAAACATTTTTTTTAAGTATTTATAAAACAACAAGCCTAGGTTATTTTTTGTTTGTTTGTTCCATGAGCAGTTTGTACATCTACTGTTAAAAATCTCAAAAATAGGATAACATCATGCTAATAGTGTTCAAGGGTATTTTGCTGTTCTCCCTTTTTAATCAAATTTGTTTGTAAGTTGGGGTGGGGAAGTGGGGCATAGGGGGCCTTTTCTTATAAATTCAGGGCTTTGCTGGGGGGGGGGGGGGGGGGGGGGGGGGGTTAGGCGGAACTACCTGGAGAAAAAATGTTCTAAACCATTGGCTCAGAATATGTGAATGCCCTGCGTCTCATATCCCATTGGCAGTAAGTATTACTAATACACACAATCCCATGTTTACCTGTGGGTCTTCACTCAAACTAAACTTGACCACCAGGTCTGATACTTTAATTTTAATTCACCCCCCTACAATGGAAACCTGGGAGTTCCTGGGAAACTCCCAGTATTCTTGGGGTATTGTGGTTTGAAATGAATTAGGGGATACAATAAGAAGAGACCATTTGCGTGCCCTGGCCTGAAATAAAACTGATCTTTGTCGGTCTCGACCGCCTCAGAGACACTACAGTTAGACCCCTACAACATTAGATATTCCTGGGAACTCCCCAATTGTCCATTGTTTGGGGTGAATTGAAATTAAAATTCCTCGATTGAATGTTTCCCTGTGAAGACATGGGATTCCCTAATCTAGTATCATTGCAACTGTACCAGTGTGTCACACTGAAATGGTTCAGTGACACTTTAATGAATTAAACAGATAAATATTAAAATATAACTGGGACAATAAATAGCCAGGAAACATGTATGTATAGAAATGAAGGTGAATATTACAAAATTAAAATGTCAAATAAAAAGTCTTTTAACAAAGTAAGAACGTCTAAAAATAATCAGAGCTGCATATTTTGACATGTGGAGAAACCGAATGCTCCATTAGGAGCCATCCTAGAGAGAAGGTGACAGGCAGATCTGCAAGTGGAAGACTGGATTAATTTGGAGGGTGACTCACCGTGTGGACTGTAAGGAAAGTATGACATTGAGTTGCCACTGTAAGACATAGAGAGGTGTGGAAACAACTGTAGTCAACCTTCGTGCTGAAGATGACGTGATCTGAGAATGCTGTGGATAAATTGCAGCCATCCTTAATGATGAAGAAAGCATATGTGAGAAACAGCAAGTGTGGAAGATCTGCTACAACTGAGACATTCTGGTAGCAAGTGTGGAAGATCTGCTACAGCTGAGACATTCTGGTAGCAAGTGTGGAAGATCTGCTACAGCTGAGACATTCTGGTAGCAAGTGTGGAAGATCTGCTACAGCTGAGACATTCTGGTAGCAAGTGATCTTTTGCTGATTATTACTTGCGTAATTTTTTTTTCATCGTTTTTTTTAAAACATGAAATTAGATGTAGAATTAATGTCATCTGTGCTAGCACACAGTTACTAGAGATGGACCTAGTGCTAGCACACAGCTACTAGAGACAGACCTTATGCTAGCACACAGCTACTAGAGACAGACCTTATGCTGGCACACAGCTACTAGAGACAGACCTTGTGCTAGCACACAGCTACTAGAGACAGACCTTATGCTGGCACACAGCTACTAGAGACAGACCTTGTGCTAGCACACAGCTACTAGAGACAGACCTTATGCTAGCACACAGCTACTAGAGACAGACCTTATGCTAGCACACAGCTACTAGAGACAGACCTTGTGCTGGCACACAGCTACTAGAGACAGACCTTTTGCTGGCACACAGCTACTAGAGACAGACCTTGTGCTGGCACACAGCTACTAGAGACAGACCTAGTGCTAGCACACAGCTACTAGAGACAGACCTAGTGCTAGCACACAGCTACTAGAGACAGACCTAGTGCTAGCACACAGCTACTAGAGACAGACCTAGTGCTAGCACACAGCTACTAGAGACAGACCTAGTGCTGGCACACAGCTACTAGAGACAGACCTTTTGCTGGCACACAGCTACTAGAGACAGACCTTTTGCTGGCACACAGCTACTAGAGACAGACCTTTTGCTGGCACACAGCTACTAGAGACAGACCTAGTGCTAGCACACAGCTACTAGAGACAGACCTTGTGCTAGCACACAGCTACTAGAGAGAGACCTTCTGCTGGCACACAGCTACTAGAGACAGACCTTGTGCTGGCACACAGCTACTAGAGACAGACCTAGTGCTAGCACACAGCTACTAGAGACAGACCTAGTGCTAGCACACAGCTACTAGAGACAGACCTAGTGCTAGCACACAGCTACTAGAGACAGACCTAGTGCTAGCACACAGCTACTAGAGACATAACCTATTGCTAGCACACAGCCAGTGGAGATCCACTTTTGTTGTCTTCTGTCAGGAGAGACCCTTGATACCCAGCCAGCAATATTTCAGTTACCATGGCTTCTTGAGTTGTCAGAAATGAGTATAGCTTATATGAGTATATCTTATAGGAGTAAATTTTATATGAGTGTAGCTTAAATGTGTTATAGCTGAAATGAGTAAAGTTTAATTGAGTATAGCTTTAATGAGTATAGGTTATATGAGTATAGCTTATATAAGTATAGCTTATATGAGTATAGCTTATATAAGTATAGCTTATATGAGTTTAGCTTAAATGATATACCCTAATAAAGTCTTTCACAGCCAGGCAGAAATCTTTCTCTTACAAACACCCATGCTGAAAGCCAGTGTGGCTTCGAAGCTTTATGCTTTGTCTCTGCCCCGAAGGTCTTGGGTTCGAATCAGCATTGAGTAAATTTGTTTTCAAAAATCATCTTGCTTTCCAGGCCGCCCCAGCTCACAATGGGTATCAGGCAAAGTCCTAAGAAGTAGAGGTGGCCATTGTGATGTAGACCCTATTACTCATTGAGGGTCAAATGTTCTTGAACATACCAGTCATGCTGTAAATGTTTGATGCACACTGGCCTTTACCAACATCAATGCCCGGTATATATTTTATACCCAAGATCTGCCTGGCTCTCTAGTGTAGTTGGCTAAACCGGATTGCGCAGTGACCGGGTGACGAACTCCTTGTGGTCCTGGTTCACTCCCGGGGGTAGGCAGAAAAGCCACATTTCTCCCAGATTTACGGTATTTATCATGGAATCAAGACCGAAAGGTTGCGATATCCATAATACCGAGCCTAAGGGTTAACAACTCATGGCTTCTGGATACTAAAAAAAAAAAAAAAAAAAATTTACCCAAGATGTCTCCAGTATGCTGGGCTCACTTTTTTGCTTTGCAACTCCTGCCTCTTGCAAGAACCATACCCCACCCTCAACTTTTTTAGACCACTGCAGTGCTTAATATAGCAAACACACTTTAGCCTAATATCTTAAGAGGGGCAAATGCAACCTGTAAATCGAAATGTATGGAAGGGCAGACCACACCCTTAACCTTGGCTCTCGAATAGAAGCTCCGTCAGCCGGACAGACAGAGCACTGCTCTTCTGCAGCACGGTTTGTTCCTAAGTGTTGGTGTTACCTGTCCTTTGTAGTTAGCAAAGTAGGCTGAGTGAGGGATCGTGCTGCTGCACGGGCAACACAATAAGTCCTCAACTGGTTGCCTTTTACTACATGCTAGTTTAAGGGCAGTGCGCCCCTATTCCCCCCCCCCCCCACCCCCCCCCCCCACAATTGGGTCCCCAGAACTTACTGATGGAAACATATATTCGCATAATAACATATTCAAATAAATAATATATTTATACAATGTCTGTTATTAAAGTGGTATTTATTGCATTATATTCGTATATGTTTATGTAAGTACATAGTAAGAAATGTTCTTTTTGGCGTTTATTTATGTAGTGTACTAATCATCTAACATAATAACCAGTTGATATTATAATAATTTACCTGCTGTAAAGTAAGTAAAGGATACTGTTTAACGCCTCTAGTGCAACAAGTATTTTGGGTGTAGTCAACACCTTACTACCCGCCTTTACCTCTCAGTCATTTCCCAGTGCCTATTTGATGCTGGGCCAACCAGAAGCCAAGGTAACTTTTTCTTAAACCAGTGTGAAGAGTCAGCCTAAAATGGGTACTATAAAATCTTTTAGAGTGTAAAAGAAGTGAACTTTCAAGCATACTTTTCACCACATCAGCCACACAATAGTCTTACAGTATTCAAATGGTTTTATTTAATTTGTCCTTTGATGTTTGTAAATAGGAGCTACAGTACTGGGCAGTTATGGATCATACCCGACCACCACCTCCCCTCTGAACAGGGCATTTTCCACAAACTCTCCACCGAATCCGATGGACATGTTCTCACAAGAAAGTGTGACCTACATTCACCACAATACAGCAACAACTCCACAACCAGGGGCGTTCACTGCTTTTGGATTAGGAAGGGTATGTATGAGTTGTCTTGACATGATATTTTTACTTACACACTGACTAAGTCGCTCCTCTTTTACCTTGGGGTGTAGAGATTTGCCAGAGAGATCGTCAGACTTCTCTATCAGCAGTTTTCATTTTCGCTTTGTTAAATTCCAGTCCTCTATCGGTTAGGGACTTTCAGATGTTGTTGCCTTTCCAGCCAACCCTGGGTCACCCTGGGGGTTTGGTGTTCCCTGGTTCTTGGTCTGCCACGGTGGCCACTTCTCTCCCATTCTGCATACAGATCGAAAACATCGTAACCTCGACTGATCCATTGGGTTTCAAGATCGTGATGTAGTGTCTGGTTGCGACAGGATTTTTAGTTCGAGAGATACTGGGTTTGTGCACTGGGCTGAGATTCTCAATAGGGGACCTATGAAAGGAGCCTGGGACACTTAAAGAGATATCTCTGTGCGTTTAACCTGATTTTTATTTTGAAAATAATAGTTATCTCTAGTATCATTGTTTCTCTGCCTTGCCAGGTAGTAGTGTAATGCTAACTGTTCATCCCAGATTTAGGTTCAGAGTTAGTTGATAAACATCATTAGCCTGGAAATATCTTTAGAGAATCACAAATGTAAAGTTGAAAACTATTTTTTTTTAGTAAAAACTACTGCTAAAAAGAAATAGTGGTTAAGTATAGCCTTAATGTACAGTTTGAAATAGAAATTATAAGATTACTTTTGCCTAGAATAAATTTAAGCAGTGGAGTTACAGCTATTATTTATATGTACACACAGAAATAAAGGAATCAAAAGAAGAATTAATTAATCAAGAAATGACATCATTGCACTTAGGACATTCCCACATGTGCTCTATCCCCTTTTTCAGCAGTTGATGAAGAGTCGATATAATAATAGTACCAGTTGCAACCTGACTAAAAAAAAAAAAAAATAACCCTTAAAATCTCCTTTTTGTTGAATATGTTCCAGAACCTTTACTCACTTACACTGTGCTGCTCTTAAGCCATTGGAAAGCTGCTATTACTGCCTCCACCTCCATTCTCATACTAGCTGTAGTGACATTGTACATGAGGCTCTCTGTTTTAAAACAGTGCCCATTCACCTTTGCAATAAATCCCACCCACTCTTCTTACCTCTTACCACAGACCCATCTGTGTATATAATGATCTCACCGGGATGTGAATTTTCATTGATCAGCTCTTGTACCGCTGACTCTGTTTCACCAGCTATCCATTCCTGGGATACTCTGTTTTACCACCTATCTATTCCTGGCATACTCTGTTTCACCAGCTATCTATTCCTGGCATACTCTGTTTCACCAACTGTTTATTCCTGGCATACTCTGTTTCACCAGCTATCCATTCCTGGCATACTCTGTTTCACCAGCTATCCATTCCTGGGATACTCTGTTTCACCAACTGTTTATTCCTGGCATACTCTGTTTCACCAGCTATCCATTCCTGGCATACTCTGTTTCACCAGCTATCCATTCCTGGGATACTCTGTTTTACCACCTATCCATTCCTGGCATACTCTGTTTCACCAGCTATCCATTCCTGGCATACTCTGTTTCACCAGCTATCTATTCCTGGCATACTCTGTTTCACCAGCTATCCATTCCTGGCATACTCTGTTTCACCAGCTATCCATTCCTGGCATACTCTGTTTCACCAGCTATCCATTCCTGGGATACTCTGTTTTACCACCTATCTATTCCTGGCATACTCTGTTTTACCACCTATCTATTCCTGGGATACTGCGTTTTACCACCTCACTATGTGCATACTCTGTTTCACCAGCATATCCATTTCTATACTACTTTTGCCACCTGCAATTTAAGCATACTCTGTTTCACCACCTATCTGTTCCTTGCTCTGTTTCACAAGGCTATTCATGCATACTCTGTTCACTGCTATCTATTCCTGGGATACTCGTGTTTTACCACCTATCCATTCCTTGGCATACTCTGTTTCACCAGCTAGGACAGAAGTACTCTGTTTGCCACCTATGTATTCAATTGGCATGTCTGTTTCACCAGCTATCCATTCCTGGGATACTCTGTTTCGACCTATCTATTCCTGGCATACTCTGTGTTTACCACCTTCTAATTCCTGGCATACGAGATACCAGCTATCTATTCCTGGCATACTCTTGTTTCACCAAAATAATCAGCTCCTGGCAGACTCTGTTTCACCAGCTATCCATTCCTGGCATACTCTGTTTCACCAACTGTTTATTCCTGGCATACTCTGTTTCACCAGCTATCCATTCCTGGCATACTCTGTTTCACCAGCTATCTATTCCTGGGATACTCTGTTTCACCAGCTATCTATTCCTGGCATACTCTGTTTCACCAGCTATCCATTCCTGACATACTCTGTTTCACCAGCTATCCATTCCTGACATATCCGTTCAACATTGCTACCACTCTGTGCAAGTTTGTTTTGCTGGGTGACACTGCGATCCATTCCTCACCATGTGCAACTTTGTCAGTAGCATAAACATTTCTAATAGCGACTTCTGCTTGTGCCATCTAAGAGCCACCTCTTTTCAGCCAGTGTCCCTTGTTCTCCATAAGGCCTCATGCAGAAGGTGTTCCCTGTCCATTGCAACTCTAACGTACATTTTCACCTGTAAAACCTTGTATCTTTCATACAAGGACAGAAGTGCAAGTAAGTGCCACATGTATACAATTGGCATGTCTCATATAGTCCCAAAATGACTCACATGGTTTCGATTTGCCTGTGTTTCAGCTTCTCAATTTGGATACGAGATAATGTTAACACTTCTTATACTCTTGTCACCAAAATAATCAGCTGCTGGTAGAGTGAATTGAGCATTTTCTGCTCTGTGTCCACCGATGCCATCACCTTGAAAGCATTGAGTCCTTTCCTTATCTATAAAACTACCTCTTCTAAATGGTATTTGAAAGACATGACTGTTGTCAAAAGAATTCCTTGATATTTTAGTGAATTATTTCTCTTTATGTTACTATCGTTTATTGTGAAGTTCAGCATCACATATTTAGCAGTTCTATCCGTGCTAAAAGGCAACACTAACAATATATACATTTAAAGTTTTAGGAACAACCACATTGTAACCTGCTGCCTCTAAAAAGCATGAATTCCAGATTTCATTAAAGCAACATATGACATAGTTTGGCTTTATAACTTACAGAAGAATCCTTAGAATTCTTTGGAATGCCAAAAAGAGCAATCCAGATGTGTTGAAAGAGGTTAGGGCTCGAAGACAGTTTATCACGAACATCAGAAAGAGACGGTCTTTATTTTTTGTAATGTTATGAGAAGAAAAAAAAAAACTGTAAGATGTTATGACTACTGGAAAAATCTGTGGATAAAGAGGAAGACATAATGTGAGATGATTCTTGACAGTCTTATGTCATGGCAGGAAGGGTGTCGGCAGATGAACCCAGACATGTTGTTGAAGATCATGGGGAGACATGATCGTACATGAGTCTGGAAGGAACTTTATGATGATGATAACTCTGCCATCAGTAGACAGTCTACCACAATGAGCAATGATTTGCAGGACCAAGCAAGAATGAAACCAACCATGAAAATGATAGACAGCAGGAATGACTGAGTCCCTGCCATTACCGTAATCAAACCACTAGACACCAGAATTGCCTTTTGGGAACTAGAAACGGAATCAGTAGAGAAACAAGATTATTAAAGCCTTGAGAGAATGAGGCACCTGGGTGTAACCAGAGGGTCTGGCCGACTCACTACACTAAGAGGAGAGGCAAGACGGACATATAACTAGATTACAACTAGTACCATCAGTATTGAAACTCTGGGCTGGCTGCTGAAGATGAGGACGCAGCACACATGGGAATGCCCAGAGTGCTGTGATGTCAGTTCTTGACTCAGCTCAACTCAACCCAGCGTGACACCAAAATGTGTAATACATGTATGCTTTCTCTCTTTAAGTTTTACTCCAGGTTTCTTAGCTAATAGGACTCTAACAGTCAGTTCTTCTTCTTCTTCACTTCCTCTTTTACCGCTTTGGGTGTCGAAGGAGATATAAGGTTCTGTTTCTGGCTCTTCTGGCCGCCTCGACCATAGGCACATCGTGCTGTTGTAGAGCTTCTCTGATGTTATCCTTCCATCTTGTTCTTGGTCTATCTCATGCTCTACGTCCTTCTTCTCTTTCCATGTATGCTTTGTATGGTATGGTGTCACAAGGCATTCTCTCTAAGTGGGCAAACCATTTCACTTGCTGTCTTTGTATGTAATTTAGAATTGGTTCTGTGCCGACTTTTTCTCTTATAATCTCATTCCTGATCTTATCTCTTATGGTCACTCCTACAGCCCTTCTCAGACATACATAGTCAGTTAAATATTATAATTTACATACAAAAGCCTAATGCTGTCATCAGGTCAACTACTTGGTATACATATTAATGCCATTATTTGTTTAATAATCATCATAGTTAATTTCTACTTCTGCCATTATGCGTTGTGGGAAAGGACAGTTTGCGATCCATTGCTTGATGGGAATCAATGACTATTGTCATTCTGTGTCGATGTAGAAGCTTTTTAATGTCATCAATCCATATCTGCTAGGGCAACCTCTTGATTTCAATTAAGATCTTTTCATGCGTTGGTAGTTTCTTCTGGCTTGCTAGATGCCCAAATTTTTTGATTTTCTATTTCTCAATGAATTTGCTGCATGGTAAATTGTTCCTAGTCGTTTGATAATATCATTTCTAACTTTGTCTCGTATGGTAAAGCTGGCAGATTTTCTCAGGCTTCTCATTTCATAGGTGTTAATTTTATGTCAGTTGGGCTTTGATAATGCCCAAGTCTGGCACTGATAGTCGAGTGTTGGTATAAATATGATATTTATAGTCTATTTTTTGGCGCTCATGCTTATGTTTAGATGTCCTAATAATGATGTCAGTTTGTATATAAGTGCACTGGCTTGTTGGCATCTTGTTTCTATTTCCTGATCTGTTCTCCCGTCCTCCAAAAATAAACTTCTAAGAAATTTAAATTCTTCAACTTGCTTTAGATATTTAGTGTAAAGGGTAAGTTAATTTACATACCACTGTTTGTCAGTACTTTCAACAGTTAATAGGAAATTTATATTTAAACAGTCTTTACAACCAGCTTTTGATGTGCTGGTAGCACTTGATTGGTTGATGATATAAACAATAATGTACTGTGTATTTCTAAAACACCAGCCATGGTAGAGTTGTCTTTCAACATAATTCTCACTGTCCACATTCCACTGAATTTGAGCACTTACATTTTTCTATGTTATTATGTTGGTATACCTTAATTTCTCATAAATTGTTTTTTCTTTCTTTAAATTTCGTTCTCTTTGAGAACCTAAATGAATTTGCATTGCCTTGCAAAATGTTCACTTGAATTAGCAGAATCCTTCATAAATATCCCAAATTAATTAAATCATATTTTATTAGTATGACATTTGTCATACCTGTATTAGCAATAATTTTCTTCTGCCTAAGATTCATTATCTGGCAATACTACCTTCTTGTTCACATCTTTTTTTAATCATAATATGTATTCTTACTTTCTCAGTCAATCATTGCTTGGATTATTGCCACATTCTCAAAATTACCACAAATTTTTTTTTTTTTACAAGCACCATCGCTCATTTATAATTGCAAGAATGTATTAACCATGACATTACTGCCAGTTCCTTGACTTTTTTAAAATAACAATTTGTCCTTACCAGGGTCTTTTAGCAACAAATTTTAATGCTGGTTTTCACTGATGGCAGATGAAGAAAAACATAAACTAACATGTAAAAAAGAATTGAAACACAGGTATCAATCTAGTAGTGCATTAGTTAGAGTTACCTTCCTTGATTCTAGTATCTGCTATGCCTAGTAGAGTGTTTTTTTTCTTGTAATAAGTAGTAATTCATGTTTTGTCTGTGGCTTTCGGTAATTTAAAAAAATGTCAACACTAATATACATTGTTTCTGTGTGGATTGGTTCCCTGTCAGCTTAACTAGCTTATCTTTCATTTGTTAGAATGTTTACTCTTTTGTGTGTAGTTTGATTCATTATAATTTCATTGTTCTTATTGACTATAATACTAAAGATAGTCTTTCTTTTATCTGTTTTGTGTAATAATATGACAGTAACTGTTAAATTCGTTTACTTGTTGAAACTGTATATCTCAGTCTCTATATCATTTTTGTTTAGACAATAACACACACTTGTACAAAATAGTCAAATAGGGTTGTGGTTTAGAGGATAGTAAGCATGTTTCACAATTCTTGATGCACGTGAGTTCAATTTCTAAGGCTGACAGTTTATAAAAATACCTCCTGACTTTCAAACAGTGGTAGAAGAGTCGCACCTTAGAAAAGTTTAGGGTGTCATCACATAATTTTCTTTATGGATGATTTATGTAACTCAGCCAATTTCCATTGTGAAAATAGTGCAAAATTTCTTCTAATTAATACTATGATAAATAAAGCAGCTCATAAATGCACTATTTGTACAAATGTTGTGCTACCAGTGCCAGATATTGACACTCTTAGAAAAACATGAACCCAAAATGACAACATGTGAGATGTGATGAATAAGAAATGCTGTGGGACAAAACGAGACGAGACAGCGTCATAAACAAAGAACTAAGAAAAATAGTGGGCACAGTATCGGTAAACGATTTGATAGAACATCAAAGAATCAACTGGTTTAGTCATCTGGTCAGAATGGAACAAAATGAGCCAGCAGGTAGAGCGTGCTGCATGGGAACAGCAGTCTATAGGGCAAGAGGCAGATAAAGAAAGAAATGGGTTGAAGGAATAAAAGAGACTATACATAAAGACAGTTTGACATTAAAAAAGACTTTAAAAAATTAACAAATCACAGGAAACTACATCTTACTCCTCTCTGGGGCCCTCTATAAGTACTAGGACAGAACAAGAAGAACAGTACAATAAGCAGTGCTTATAGTTCTGTGATGATTACTAATATAATAATTATTATTATATATCATCATCATCATCAACATCATCATCCTCATCGTCAGTTTAAAGAAAAGTCATGTTAACTTGCCAAAGGAAAAATTGCAGTTATGATCATCATCAAGTGCCTTGTCAGCTGCCATAGTTAACTTGCCAAAGGGAAAATTGCGGTTATGATCATCATCAAGTGCCTTGTCAGCTGCCATAGTTGTTCATGCATCGCCACAGCTCTTGGTCTTTGGTGTTCTGGATTCTGGCGTTACTATTGTTGTTGTTAGGGATAAAGGAGAGAATCATCTTGCTCTAAAGATGAAATATTTTAGCCATATTACATGCGATTAGCAAAATTAATAGCAGAAGGTGGTGCCAGGATGGAGCGGCAAAAGCTAACCAACAGGAAGATGGGCACAGGATATAAGTGACTCCTTGAGTATGAAAGTACATGAGCAAGGAAAGCTGGAAGGGCCAGGCAGACCGTGATGAGAGTGATGTTCTGAAGAGTACCTGCTACATGATGATGATGATGATGATGATGAAAAGATTAAACATTCACAGATGGGTTGAGAGTTGAGCATCTTAGAAGAAGATCATTAAATAGATTCTACGGCAACAGTGGTCATGAAATCTCAAGCACTAGTTATGGAAGACTTTTTCTTAATGGAAACGGCTTACTGGTCAGTTCAGTGCCATGGGTTGTGGTTGCAATGGGTTGTGGTTGCCATGGGTTGTGGTTACCATGAGTTGTGGTTGCCATGTCTCACTGTACCACAGTATCTGACTCTTGCATAGTAAAATATCATCCTTGGAAAGGGGAAAATATGCCTGTATATTATAATCATTTCAAGTCTTGATGTGGTTTTACTAAAAATATAAATCATCTCTAATGCTCTCAACTCACCGTCCATTTCTGAATCATTCTAAAAATAATATAATTTACCAGCTGTCTTCTGTCAGAGAAGAATGTTATACAGTGTACATACAAATAAGCCAGATCTGTAAAATGTATGTGCATGCAGAACTCAGGTACTGGAACAAGACTACAGTCCAGGAGCAGACAAACAACCAGAACATTCTGCCAGAGTTTACAGCCAGTGAACGTGAAGAAGAAGAAGCAGAAGAAAGAGCAAACAAAAGATTTTTACAACTTCTATCAACATTTCGATGAGGCAGTGGGAGGAAGAGAAGAAGAACAAGAAAAAAAAAATTTGTTATGATTAACATGCTGTCTTATCAAATATGAAAGCAACATTTTCCTCATAATCATCATGTGCCGTGCTGTAAGGCCTAGGCTGCCATGTTGCGCCATCTCACTTGATCACTAGAATTACAAATCAGTTCAGTGTTTTTATCTCACACCAACCATCTGGCCAGGCCATCCAGGTATTTATCTCATTGCCTTCCTTTTGCTCTCTTTCCATCAATCATGCCAGTAGTTCTCGAGTCAGTTACTTCTCGAGTCAGTTACTTCTCGAGTCAGTTACTTCTCGAGTCAGTTACTTCTCGAGTCAGTTACTTCTCGAGTCAGTTACTTCTCGAGTCAGTTACTTCTCGAGTCAGTTACATCTCGAGTCAGTTACATCTCAAGTCAGTTACTTCTCGAGTCAGTTACTTCTCGAGTCAGTTACTTCTCGAGTCAGTTACATCTCGAGTCAG